GTAATTGCTAGCCAAAGGCAAACGGCTACGTTCGTTGTAATAAAGCTGGAGGGAATTATTAGAAGGTTGTAGCTGTGGATACCATGTGGACTTGAAATTTATTTAAGATTGCAGCTTCCAACAAACAAGGAGAGCGCTCCCGAAATGGGCCGTATTCCCGGAGGTTCGCGACGGAATGCAAATTTATCCTACGAATTATGTCATTTATGAAATGGCCGAGGCATGTAATTTCTCCTTATGTGTATGTGTGTGGATACTCGGTTTCACAAGCAGTTTCTTAATTAGCGATTTGACCGTCGAAACTAACGAAGCAACAATATTACAGAACCGGACCGTTATAAATTCTCACCCACAACTTTTTCCTTTTTTAAATCTAAACCATTCCAGAGCAGTAAGCTGAAATTTATTCAAAAGGGAGAACCACCACACAGCCAATTAAATTTTATGAATCGCTATTGTTAAAACAATAATTAATTAGACCGAAGGCTGTTGATTGCTTCTAATGTTTAGCAATTGTGATACGGCAACAATTCAGCTGATTGCAATTAATCGAATTAATGACGTTATTCACACCTTCGTTCGCGGTTTTAGTATACCTCAATGCACTCTATATATAACAGCAATCAGCCCCTTATTAACGCAATGCGTTTAAGACATAAAAGATAAAACAGAAGCATACATTGGTATCATAATTATTCATACAAATCTAATATTTCTTTGACAGAGCATAAGGGAGAAGCATTGGCAATTAACGCTTGTTTGAGTTTTAATTAAAACCGTTAATATGTAGGTATAGGTGGTATGATGGAAGAAAATCGGAAGTTTTGATAAAGTGATTTGATTAGAAAATGAATTTCGCAGGAACCAGGGGAGCCGAGGTACTGTACAGCAGCTTTCAAATTACGCCAATGGGAATGGTTCAATTAAGCAATCTGCATTGCACAAGCTTCGCATGAATCGGCACTGGGCTTTCCTACTAAATACCATTAAAAAGCTTTACAAACGTTTTAAATTTTATGCACAATCCACCCGATTGGCCGAACAAAAACGCGTGATTTCAACATTTTAATATTTATAAGATATCTTATTTAGACAAGTTCATCCCCCCTATCACTGTGAGCTCGAAACGGACAGCACCATTAGTTCGAATGGGTTAAAAAATGTTTGAAAAATTAAATTTAAAGGAATTGTTTGTAAATAGATCTGCAACACACCGTACACTTCAGCATATGAAATTGCTGATACTAACTACGTAATACTACTTTGCTCTGTGCTAACAGCACTCATAATTTCTTTTATATATAATTTTAAACATTTGCGGTTGTCTGGTACCATATACAAGGGGAGGAGGGATTTTTCTATGAAACTATAATTTCCGAAATGCTTAAAATAGCATTATGCTCAAGTGGGGTCAATAGATAAAAGTATGGGAGAAGGGATCATAAAGTGACTAAAATAGAGCCACTCAAATTTAATTTAATGACAAACCATTTTACCTGTGTAATTCATAGTCATGCATTCAAGACTGTCGTGGATCATAATAATATGTTTTCAAAAGTGTAGGGAATTTCTAGATCATAATGTTAATAGTTTTTTGACACCACAACAATATAAAGAATTTTAGATCATAAAGTTGGTGCCGAATTTACTACATCCCTTTTGATTAAATACATCTTTCGTATATAATCAAACAGTTAAAACGCTTTCAAACGGCTCGTACGGAATTTAAATTAAAGATAGTTATGTAAATATTGCCAGCCATGTAATTAACCTGATATTAATCCTGATTATTAGATAGGACTGTAAACAAGGATTACTGCCGATTTTAAACCGGTCGGTTCATATAACTCTTTTTCCGTCCTTTTTTGTGAAAGAAGTTTAACAGTTTAACGGTATTCACATGTCGAAAGCAGCTGTTACTAAAATGGGAAAACAGAACCATACATTTTCCTGGAATACGCAAAAAAATAAGGGTTTCTCTTTCTTCTCGATTGTTGGAGTCATTTAAGGTAAACGAACGTCAGGTGTGAGTTTGTTTTACTATCAACAAGGATAACAGAGATGTTTCTTCATCAATAAATACATAAAAATTGTTTATAGTTTTTATGTTACATAAAACGAAATAAATGCCTTTACTTATTTCAAGAATTTTGCTTCTCGATTAAATTATAGGGTTGTTCGGAAAGTCATTTCGTTTTTTTTTTGTGGAAATGAAAGACAGTTTTCGTATAATAAACAAATACTTTATTAAATTATATATTGACCGTTCTGGTCCAACACCTTTTGCCATCTTTCTGGTAGTAGCATAATTCCACGCTCATAAAATTTTTGGTCTTTGCTGGCAAAAAACTGATCGAGGAGGTTTTTGACCTCCTCATTTGAGGTGAAGGTTTTACCGTCTAAAAAATTTTGGAGTGACCGGAACAAATAATAATCCGATGGTGCCAGGTCTGGAGAATATGGTGGGTGTAGCATTGTATCCCATTCAAGCTGTAAAAGCTTTTGGCGAGTGACCAAACTTGTGTGAGGTCTCGCGTTGTCTTGGTGAAACACTACACCTTTCCTGTTGATTAGTTCTGACCTTTTCTGTTGAAGTGCATCATTCAGTTTGTCCAGCTGATGACAGTAGACTTCCGAATTAATCGTTGTGTTATCCGGTAAAAGCTAAAAAAAAACGATTCCTTTAAAATCCCACCAAACAGACAGCATCACCTTTTTTTGGTGAATATCGGCTTTGGAAATGGTTTGAGCCGGTTCATCTTTTTTGCTCCATGACCTCTTGCGTTTGACGTTGTTGTATACAACCCATTTTTCGTCCCCAGTGATGATGCGCTTCAAAAACGGATCATTTTCGTGACGTTTGAGAAGCGAATCGCAGACGTCAATGCGGCGACACAGATTTCTCTCTGTGAGAACATGGGGAACCCATACATCGAGCTTCGAGGATAATCCCAGGCCTTTCAAGTGGTCATAAACTGTTGAATTTGATAAATTTAACCTCAATCCGATCTCACGTGTTGTTATTCGCCGGTTCACATCAACTAATGCCTTTATCGCGTCTTTATCAGCTTCAACCGGCCTTCCCGAACGTGGTGCATCTTCGACATCAAAATTGCCGGATCGAAATTTAGCGAACCAGTTCTGGCACTGGCGTACTGTCAACACACCTTCTCCATACACATCAGTCAATTTCTTTCTGGCTTGAACAGCATTTTTACCCTTTCTGTAGTAAAACAGTAAGATATGTCGAAAATGCTGCTTATCGCTCTCCATATTTAAAAGGGCACCAACCAAAAACTACTGCGTAGAATTAATTGGAATTTTTCACACACAAGCCTTGCTATATGAGCTCTCAAAGCATATAAAAATTATACGGCTTAAATGTGAAGTTGGGTGCAAAAGAATACAATTAAATCCTCTGTCGGGAAAAAACGAAATGACTTTCCGAACAACCCGATATATTACATTAGAATAGCCTGAAACAAGCAACCATAAGAAAATGAGATTGAACGTAAAGGAACAAAATTCCCGTTCAGTCAACCATACGGCAACCTGAATTTATAGGAATAAGTTGCAGTCTGAATTGCATATGCAGTCAATAAAACAAGCATAGTGTTAACTTAACGGTTGAGCGGTGGTGATAAATTTCCCGCGTTTAAACCAAAACCATGCCTCCAAACTGATAACCATTTCGTTCAAATCTCGAAGCAATATTGCAGATATTTGTTATGGGGATTCCTACACATCTCTCTCATCAATTTAACAATTCTTTTTTTCTAAATCACACAGATACAATTACTGTATTCGATCATCATCAACAACATAAAATTTATAATCATTTTGAAGGATTTCCATTATGATATGATGCTTTTGCATTATTTTGGGTTTTTAAAATATTTAAGGACCTTTCTACTAAGACTTGCCGAACCTATAATCTAATCTTATTTAATGTAATCACCGTCGTACTTTCGGGAAATCCCAAGATAGAAGACAATTACAAACGACGATCCATCTGAAAATGAAATCTTTGAAAAAAATAGTTAAATTTGGAATTTTATGTATTTAGAAGACTGCATCACGACAACAATAATAAATAAATTCGGTCCTCCCTTTTGTTTACATTTAATTTGCAATTTAATTACACCATCAATGGTACACGACATGTACTTATATACGTATAAATACTCAAATACATTGCCTGTGGCTAAATTTGCGTTAATTTTAACGATAGCAAAACCAATATAAACCCATCTAACTATATTTTAAGTGACCCTTGTTAAAATCGCTTGTATTGTTAAGCCAAATGTGATTTATATACACGGTAGCTATTGTATATATGTATATAGGCAGAAAACGATACCGAAAACATGATGATGACAACGATAATGACGATAAGTTCGATTTAGTTCAAAACTTTGTAACAATGGTGTCACCCTGTCTTTATCTTTGCGATGATATTCTTCTTAAGAAATTGGTAAATAAAAACGTAAATTCAACTTGGAGGAAGTCTGAAAATTAATGGACGCGATCACAACCTCAAAGCTACAAGGGAATGGTGTACAAAAAGTTACAAATGTGGTTGTTTTCTCATCTTGTTCAGTACAGCTGCTGTATCGGTAGCAAAAGTTTCGCCTTTGCCTTTTCAAATTCATCAGATCTCAACCACTGCTTAATAATCTCCACCTACCTCTGATAAAGTATATAAATGGTTCAAGATCAAAACCCTTTTCCATTAACCCCTTATCCCTCAAACTACTAAAAACAAAGTGGTAAAGAACACAGTCACCCACGTATATAACATGCACTACAGAGAAGATAAACTAAATTAATAAATGTTTAGTATTTTTTGCGTTTATCAAAGAAAAGAATAAGTGTGAAGCTAACTCGAACTTCCTTTTGCAGAGGATGAGGACGAATATAGCTTTCATGTTTCGCGGTACCGACCAGAAGAATTGCAAAAGTTAGCCTCAAGGACTAAATTTACTAGAAAAGAAATTCAGCTCATGTATAGGGGATTTAAGCAGGTAAAGCGAATGGAACAGAACAGCCGTAACTTATTAAAGTTCAACTTTTGTTTAATTTCAACGCTTGTATGTTGTTTATCGGTTAAAACAACGGTTTAAAAACACAGATACATATCTCACAAACAAATAAATTTAACATTCACACAAAAATATTTTATCTGCTACTTAAAATACGAGAGCCATTCAACAAGTAAAGTGACAAATGATCCAATTTTAAAACTCGTTATTGAATAACTCGAAAATCTTCAGGTCATCATGGCAAGTCCATTAGAACATTGCAATATCATTACCAAGCCGGAAGAGAAAGAATAAAGTTGAAACACACCAACCTTCCCGTTCGCTAAAACTAAAGATTTAACCCTCTTGAAGATCAGAGGACTATCAATAGCAATTACTACTCTGCACAAAATTAAACCTGCTATCAGGAACAAACGTCGTGGACCTTTGACAAAATCAGTAGTCTTTCAGTCTTACCTCATCCCGCGTACAGTCCAGACCTTACCCCGTTTGATTTTTACCTGTTTAGGCCATTTAAAGATTTGCCAATAACGTCAAATAATTGTTTGCCAAAGGAATTATGAAGCTACAAGAAATATGGGGAAAAGGGGATGATTATGTGGAAAATAAGACCAAATTTTGTAAGAATCCAATAAACCATTTTTGCGTTTTAGCCATTTGTCTCATTGCTTAGTGAATGACCCTTGTAGAATGCAGTGAATTATGAAAATTTTTTATGTTTTGAAAAAGACAAGTTTTAGTACCCAGAATTGCACTTAGTACCCTAAATACTACTCTACATAATAGAATAGTCTAACTACCTTCATCAATCTGAAGCAACAGGCTTCTAGTATGTTGCCAACAAGCCTTGAACTTAATTTATAGCTGTAAGACTACCTCCGTTATGTACCTACTGTGCATATTCCTAACTAGACTAGAATCTGTTATTACCTTTAGAGAACTACATATATTTAAACTTTTTCAGGAATGTCCAACTGGTATGGTCGATGAAGAAGCTTTTAAACACATATTTTCTCAATTCTTTCCACAAGGAGGTAAACGTTTTTATTGTGTAATTAGTTCCAAAACTGTTTTTTCTTTTACTGTGATATTAATATGAGGAACTTGAATTAAATTAATTTCGGTTGAAACGTCAGATTTTGTAATTAATCAATTTTGCTCCAAAATAGGAGAACACGGGATCGTTACAGAAGCTTTTTATGAGCTTGTGCTTTTCTGTACGGTCGTATGAACCACCAAGTGGAGTGTAAAAACAAGAAACTTGAACGAAATTTATTATTTGCGAAACGGTGTCGACAAATATTTAATAACAAATGTCTCATCAAAAGTTTGTGCTCTATATTCGAAGACAACACCAAAATGTAAAAAATATCTTAACGATCTCAAAAGTTTTATTGTAGAAACAAAAAACACTAACGTTATTATTATTTTAGTAATAAATTTTCTCTCTGTTCCTGCACCAACATCAACTTTTTTTGAATAATTGTCATGATTTTGTATTCCAGATGCTACAAACTATGCCCATTATGTATTCAACACTATTAAACAAAAACAAACTGGAAAAATTAGTTTTGAGGTAAGTAAATAGTAATAAGTAAGCAAGCGATAAAGGTCGGCTTGAATAATAAAAAAATTAATCAAAAAAGTATCAGAAAATACTTATGTCGTTATGCAAGGTATAGACTAAGGGCATAATAACGAAAATACATTACAAAGTTTCAAGCCAACAATGTAAATAGCTTTCTGATCTGTTTAAGGTCTGAAAACCTGTTGCTAAAAGCTTTCAGGAACTGTAATGTAACACGTAAAATCCGGATACGGTTTAGATTGTACAGTACGTACCTGGTAACTAAATTATAAAAACCCTCTGCTTTCGAACCCTCAGGAATATGAAAAGCAAAACAAAGCAATATCTCGTAAATCTTGTGCAATCTACTCAAATACACAATAAAATTGGCCTTGTAGAACTAATGAACACGAAAAATATAACAATCTTTAACTGAATATGACAGTTTAATACAATTCTGTTTCAAGTTTCAAAAGCTTTTGCTTTATTTTTTAATTGAAGCTGCAAATCGGTCTGCAAATTTTTGAGTTTCTTTTTCTTCGAAACATTTTTAGCAAAAAAAATATTTTTAATGTAGCAATAACCCTAAATTTGTGTAGCGATATTTAGATTATTTTTACGAAAACCTTTATTAGAATTTATACAACAGAGGGACCAAGGATTCGAACCCATTTAGAGTCCTGAAACGTCCTGACAATTTGTCGATCTCCTTTCGTTTACAATTCTAGCAGCGGCGCCAGGGGGTGGTTCGTTTGGGTAACACGTGTTTAGAATCAAAGGAATCACGAGTTAGGGTTCCAAAATAAATAATGTCCAGCGCAAACCCGCACTGATGCAGTAACGAATTTCTCCTTTATCGCATAAATTATAATAATGAGTGCATTTTCACTAACCCAGTCGCAATCGTTATAATCAACACGTCTCATATAATTTACTTCATTAATAATAAGCCCTGAACCGCCCCCGACTACCCCGTCAACAGCAAATGGCGCATTATAGTTACGACATAATTCATTATCATTTTACAAATAGCGATTAAACCGTTACTTACTAAAGGTGCAATGACTAAATCTCGTTGCAGATATTCAACGTGATGATTAATTACAATCAGAAATACAATAATTAATTTAATGCCGCAAAGTGTACAGGACTACCCTCAAAAAATGGGACATGGGATAACTGTAGATTCTAGGAATACAAAAAATTAAACCATTGTCATATTAAATTTATTGTCAGTAAAATATTAATGGGCGAAGAGACGCAGGGTACTGAATCTGAACCTGAAGAACAAAATTAAATTTTTGCAATTATTCGGAAAAGTACTTTGTATAGCTGTCCCTAAATCCGACGGATCGTGAGAAATTTACAGTTCAATATCTAGGTAAAATTATAAATCACTCTGTATATCGTAAATCTCTTCTTTTCACATCATCACAATATTTACTGCTAGAGATAATGGTTTTAAAGGATTCTCAAGAAATCTAATTCGCTGTTAATTTAGATAAAGTTGGTGCACTAAATCGACATTGTGTTTTAAAGGATTTTCTTGGAATATTATCAAAAGTTTCACGAGGTAGTGTTCAGGAAAAGATGCAGTGGATATTTGGCCTTTATGATCTTAACGGTGACGGTCTCATCTCGAAAGCGGAAATGATAGACGTCGTTTCTAGTATTTATGAAATGTTAGGAAGGGCTACAAATCCACTTGTGGACGATAGCACAGCGAAGGACCACGTCGAAAAAATATTTCACGTAAGTACATATTTAATAAATTATCACATTTACATACTATGGTGACCTGACAAATCTTATTAGTAAAGTCTGATGAAGGGGATTCAACCCGTGGGCGACGAGAAAGGGCAAAGGTAAAGGGAAGGGCCTGAAATAAGTAATCTTTTCTAGCAAAAATAATTCCAGAATACATCACACTCAAAAACCGTTAGCACTATGAGATTCTACGTACTTTTCTGCATAATTATCAGTTTTCAAAGCTTAGTAAAAACCTTCTAAATCATAATTATTTCACGAGCGCATTTTGATGTTTCAATTATTCAACATGTGTTAGCAAAAATAATGCCGAAAAGTACCTATTTGACACCGCACTAAAAAACCGTTAGCACCACGAGATTCTACTTACTATTTTACATAATTATCACTTATCGAAGCTTACTAAATGCCTTTCATCTCATAATAATTTTACGAGCGCTTTTTGATGTTTCAATTATTCTACATGTTTTAGCAAAAATAATGCCGATAAGCACCTATTTGACACCAAACTAAAAAACTGTTAGCACCACGAGATTCTACGTACTATTTTACATAATTATCACTTGTCGAAGCTTACTAAATGCCTTCTATCTGATAATAATTTTACGAGCGCTTTTTGATGTTTCAATTATTCTACATGTGTTAGCAAAAATAATGCCGATAAGTACCTATTTGACGCCGCACTAAAAAACCTTTAGCACCTTGAGATTCTACGTACTATTTTACATAATTTTCAGTTCTCGAAGCTTACTAAATGCGTTCCATCTCGTAATAATTTTTACGAGCGCTTTTTGATGTTTCAATTATTCTACATGTGTTAGCAAAAATAATGCCGATAAGTACCTATTTGGCACCGCACTAAAAAACCGTTAGCACCACGAGATTCTACCTACTATTTTACATAATTATCACTTGTCGAAGCTTACTAAACGTCTTCCATCTCCTAATAATTTAACGAGCGCTTTTTTACGTTTACATTATTACATAAATTTTAGCATGGACAACACGGGAAGGTACTTAGTAGTCACCGCATTCAAAAACTGTTGGTACCATGAGATTCTATGTACTATTTTACATAGTTATCAGTTCTCAAAGCCTAATAGGTATCTTCCATCTCATTATAATTTCACGAGCGTTCGTTAATGTATTAATTGTTCTGTACTTCTACTTCTAAAATCTTATCATCAAACTCACCATTTTGTAGATTCCAAGTTGATTCATTTGTTAAAGTCTTACACACTTCACTAAAAACACACCGCTACATAGGCGTTTATTTCCTAAAAGTTAAAAAGTACACACCGAACATTTAATTACCGTAAAAATGTCCCGTTCAAACCGCTGAAATTTATTACTGTTAATTAATTTCTCCCGGATTATTTGCCACGAACATCGGAACGCCGGTAAAGAACAACTAAACTGCTTACAATCGCGAACATTAACGAATAACATTCGACAGATTCGGTTAACCTTGTCAATGTCACGGCTATTTTTGTTCAGAAATGGTATAAAAACTTGCATTCTTAATGAGATAATGTTTGCACAATGTGATGCAGTTCAAATAAACATATATATATAGGAACAGTTAGGAAAATCTTGTACCACAGTAAAACATGATTTGTAATGAATGCGATGCGAGACACCCTGTAGTTTCTACAGTTTTATTTGGTTTCAGCAAATTGATACAAATAAAGACGGCGTCGTCACAATAGAAGAATTAATGGAATGGTGTTCAAGGGATGAACACTTCCTTAAATCTTTAGACACTTTAGATACAATATTGTGATCTAGTGTTACGCTGAACGATTTTATATGTATAGTTTTAGATATTGAAAATGTCCAGTCCTTTATTTATAATAAAGAACTGTTTGAAAAATACGTAACAAGAAGTAGTTGCCGTATTTGGTGACCTGTTCAACAATTTCATCTCGGCGAATGATGCATTTACTACAAAATATTTCGGCATTTTCATTTTAATTTCATTTGTTTAGTGGCTGATTTCAACTTGTGCCAATTTAATAAAACGATATTGTAAAACATTCTCAAACAATTGTAATGGAAAATGTAGGGCAAAGACTGAATATGAATGAGATTAGCATATTCAACGATTTTAATAAAGTCTAATAATAGCTTGCAACAAGAATTTAACTTATATATTGTTATTAAAAATTGTTGTCTGACCTTCTATATATCGCATAGAGGTGTTCTTTCAAAGTACCTTTTCTAAATATGAAATAGAAAGATAATCTACATTCTTCAAACTGATACGCGTAATGTTTATTAGGAATTATTTATTTAATACACAAGTAATGCAGTAAAGTATAGCAAAACTAGTACTAATTACGTGTTTATTCAATAAATTCGTTAGATTCAGTGGATTCCAAGATTATAAGTGGTAAAAATACGATCATGTAATTTTTATTCAAACAGTAGTTAGATTCATTTCCGTGAAACTATTGCAGATCAACNAAAATTTAAATTTATCCTTTAATTATGTTACTTACCTGCAAAGGTTTTAATTAATGTTTTTATTTTGAACTGTTACTCTTATCGGTTACTTGCCTCAATAATCCACATCTTCATTCACGAGCAAAACAGCCGAAGGGCATCCCTAACTATTTGTAAAAAGTCTACTTTTATCCCTCTTAACTCCTGTATCTGATTCTAATACGTTTATAGCTAAACATTCGTGTCTGAGAAGATGTCCTACCAATGCATCTTTAGCAAAAATTTCAAATGACTCGTTAAAATACGTAATCTACCTAATTTCGTGATAAAAATAATCGACCATTATATATAAAATAATTGTAGTTTAAAATGTGTGTTCTTCAATACCTACTTAGCTTACCTATTCAAAAATTGAAAATTTCAAACTACTTACTTAACGAAGTATTTGCTTTATCTTTAGCAGAATTTAACTAAGTACTACGTTGTTGAAATATAAACTGAAAAGTTAAATTACTCTAGAAATTTTAAAATGTTGTCTATTAAGTATAATAAAAAAATTACATATAATAAAAAGCTTTGATCTTATGAAACGTTACATCTGCAATTTCTACGGAATTTATTGTATCTTATAGATAGACATACCTAAATGACTTAAATGATTTTATATATTATACAATATATAAACGTGAATTTAGCATGTTTAAGTAGTTTGTTACAAAATTTGTCAAATATTGTGATAAAATTTATTAACTCTTTAAAGCCACTTGTAAATAAAAAATGATGATAAAACTATTTATCTTCTAAATAAAAGATGTCTGAACGAAGTGGTTATTTTTCATCCCTGTAGAGGCTAAGGAGGGCCTTGAGCCCTTCTCTCCGACTTTACACCACGGTGTAGGTCGGAGATTACCTCCCCTTCCATCATTAGCTAGTGAACTTTTTTATTTAAATAACTCTCTAAAAATTTTATATATTTCTGGCAGGATCTTTTTAATTAACTTTACTAAATTTGAATAAAAGTATACTTCTGAACGGCGTATTTAGATAACGGTAAGTAAGTGCAACACGAACGAAGTGTGTTGTCGTAGTTGTGTCCCCCAACATGCTCTCTAGTATGGCTTTTCATTGTAGTATCACAACTCCCCTGGGCCTAGCCCCAAACATTATACAGAAGGCAAGGAATTATTTAAAGGCATACTATTTTTTTAATACGTTTATTACTGAAAAAATATACATAAATGCTCATAATGGCAGTGAACAATTCAATTTTTAGCTTGCAAAACTATTTATTATCACCAAACTTTTGATTATTATTTAAATTCTATCATAGTACATTTTTTTTTTACATTAAATGTATAATATAAGAAACTACAAATTATAATAAATGTAATTGATAA